TATTTTTGGCCGATGTGTGACACAGTGTGTTGGACTGGATGGGCCACCTGCCTGATCCAGCATGGCTTCTCTTATGTTCTTATCTCTGGTGCAGTGATGCTCTGCATTCTTGGTGCTTGGGGGTGTGGCCTTATGACACACTTCCGGTGATGTCAGGGGGTGTGGCATATGCTAATGAGTTATGCTAATGAGCTCTGGCAGCTCTTTTTCTACAAAAAGACCCCTGGGTACTGCAAGGATCAGTATTGGGGCTGGTATGTTTAATTTATTCATAAATGATCTGCAACTAGGGGTGAGTAGTGTAGTGGCCAAGTTTGCAGATGACACAAAATTGTTTAGGATGGTAAAAACCAAGGCTGACTGTGGAGAGTTCCAAGAGGACCTCCACAAATTGGGTGAGTGGGCGACAATGTGGCAAATAAAGTTCAGTGTTGGTAAGTGTAAGGTGATGCTCATTGGGACAAAAAAAATAAAGAAATCCCAACATCATGGGGTCTGACCTTGCTGTGACTGTGAGGGGAAAAGATCTGGAGGTCGTAGTGGATAGCTCAATGAAAGTGTTAACCCAATGTGCTGCAGTGGTGAAAAAGGCAAACTCTATGTTAGGGATTATTAGGAAAGGGATTGAGAATAAAATGACCGATATTGTAATGCTCCTGTATAGATCTATGGTGTGGCCTCATCTGGAATACTGTGTACAGGTCTGGTCACCGTATATCAAAGAGGAAATTGCAGAGCTGGAAGAAGTACAGAGGAGGGCAACCAAGATGATTAGGGGGTTGGAGCACCCTCCCTATGAGGAAAGGCTGAAGAGTCTGGGACTTTCCGGTTAAGAAAAGAGACAACTAAGGGGGGGGGTGGACATGATAGAGGTTTATACAATTACATATGGGTTGACAAAGAGAAAATTTTATTCCTTTCACAAAACACTAGAATTCAAGGGCATCCGATGAAGCTGATAAGAAGTAGGTTCTGGAAGGACAAAAGGAAATACTACTTTACACAGAGAGTGATTAAAATGTGGAATTCACTGCCAGAGGATGTAGTGATGACCACAAGAATAAATAGCTTTAAAAGGGGATTAGATAGATTCATGGAGGATAAGTCTATCAATGGCTACTAGCCATAGTGAGTAAGGGGAACCTCCACATTCAGAGTCATTAAACCTCTGAATCCCAGAGCCAGAAGACTCTGTGTCCTGTTTTTGGCCATCCAGAGGAACTGTGTGAGGCAGGATGCTGGACTAGATGGACCATTGGTCTGATTGCAGGGCTCTTCTTCTATTCTTATGTACAGTAGTTGTATGCAACAATAAACAAGCAGGCAAACTGCACAATAGCTTATCTGACAAAGTGAGCTCAAAAGTTATACCCTTATCTGACAAAGTGACTCTTAAAAGCTTATACCCTGGAGAATTTTGTTGGGCTTTAATATGCTACTGGACTGCTGCTACAGACTAACGTAGCTACTTACCTGAAACTGTACAATATTTGTGATGATTCAGTGGAAAAGAATCCTGGGCGTAACTGTTCTCTTTACCCAGAGGATGAAATTCCCAGGAATTGTATCCTTTACCCAAAGAATCCTTCCTTCCACATTTTCAGGTAGATAGAAAAAAGCACTCAGTTCTGTAAACAGTTTTAAATCTTCTTTGCAGAATGACCTTAGGGAGGAATGACTAGGTATGTTGGTGAGCTTTCTCTCCTTTTGCTGGATCTTCAGTTAGGGAGAGGAGAGAGGACTGTCTTTAAAAAAGCAAACAAACTGGAAAGTGTGCTTGAGGGGAGCTAAAGTCTGCCACTTCTATGAAGTTGGTACATTTGTCTCAGCGTTTTTCTCCCAGCTCAGCTGATTTCCGGCCAGGAGAACACATGCCTCAAACAGCAGAGTCCAGTGAGATAAGGCAGCAGAGGGGGCAGGGTTAGCTTCCTCCCCAATCTTTGTGCTTTGCTTTCATAAAATTAATAACCATTGGCCTTAGCCAATACAATATTAAGCAAGATCCACAGTTTCAAAGGTGTAATGCCCCCCCCCCCCCGGACATTATTGCATGTTTTATTGATTTATACATGGGTGGAGCAAGATCTGTTCTGCATAGTGCTCTGCATATGGTGTGTTAGGTCCAACCTGTCTTCTCCTGTCTAGACAGAACAGTCCGAGAATGAAATAGCTCATGCAGACACAGGGTTCATACTTGCACAGAATCAAGAAGCCTTGAAAACCTGTGAGATGGTGCAGTAGTTGTGGTAAAGCTGTAAGACTGCATGGCTGTGCAGAAAATTGCCAATTGGTATGATTCTATTTGGGAAGTTAACTATTCTGATTTTGTTGCTGTCAGGCACATACCTGCTGAGTCTCTCCCTCTCCTTGCTTGTCTCCCTCTGTTGCCTGGGAAGCTGAAACCATGCAGCAAAATGCAAGAACTACAGTCAAATTAGAACAGGTCTGCCCACTCCTGGATGCCTGAAATAATTCTGTTTTATTGAGACCATTTACGGTATTTATGAATAGATGTGGTTTGGTTCAGATACTGATTAATAAGGTTTTCAGTGCATGTCCCTAGTAATGAAGCACTTGGATTCAACCAGGCGACCCCCCTCCCTCGCCTCAACTAATAGACTGGTGGTGCAACAAGTTGCTGAGTGACTGATCACCCATTATCCAGGAAGGAACAGAATTCATGGACTGAGTCCAAGTACTGTCTTCGTTCTGCTCCCACAATGCCTAACAGCTGACCAGTGCTGTGAGAGGCATTGCTCAGAAGCTTCTTATAGTACTGATCTTGCTATTTAAGGGTGAGGGACATGCAGGCTGCCAAACAGGTTGTTTTATGGGTCCCCACCCCCCACTCCAGTAGCTTATTGTGTTCCTGCTACAACAATTTTCACATATAGGAAGGAACCTGACTGTAGTTATTGCTTGACTGGTTAGAATGGTTTTTAAGAAAGCAGATTGAGAAAAACAATTAACGAGTGTCATACAGAAATACAAAATTTCCTCCTTCCCTGTGCAGAATGTGGTACTATAATGTGTGAATGGTATGCAGAAAATCAGTCAGTTTAAATTGTGAATGGTACGGTCTTGTTTTTTGCTTTTAGGTTCAGATCCGGCCTTGGAATCTTAGTGACAGTGACTTTGTGATGGATGGCTCACAGCCTCTAGATCCACGGAAAACCATTTTTGTAGGAGGAGTTCCCCGACCCTTACGAGCAGGTATGGCATTCACATTCAAAGAACAAGGGAAATGGCTTGTTGATGCTGTCCAAGCTGCCTTACTGCTGTGAGGGAACATTGTGTCCTTATGTCAGCCATAGACATATGCCAGTGCTTGCTAAATTTAACTTTGCTGACATGCCAGTTATTTCCAGATAGAAAAGTACAAACAAACATGCATGCCCAGGGCCTAGAAAGAGAGTATGAATGTATAAAGTATGTACGTAAATTGTTTACTACTTTATTTTAGTGGAGCTTGCAATGATAATGGACCGGCTTTATGGAGGAGTTTGCTATGCTGGAATTGACACAGACCCTGAGTTGAAGTACCCCAAAGGAGCTGGGCGTGTTGCATTTTCTAATCAACAGAGTTATATAGCTGCTATCAGTGCCCGCTTTGTTCAGCTGCAGCATGGAGAAATAGATAAACGGGTAAGGGCTAGAAGAGCACATTCTGTTTATTACTCAGCATTCTTTTGTTGGCTCATTTCCACACAAGTGTCGGGGTGCGTGTCAGTAGACAAGGCTTTATTAAATCCAGACTGTTTCTTCTTCATGTTTCTGAATAACACACTTAAACACCACCCCTCCCCCCAGTTATCCATCGGTTGAGTCTTCTAATTTTAAAATTGGCTTTTTAATACCTTCTGGCACCTTCTAAACCAGCTGCTCCCTCCAGAGACATTTCCTGCAGCACAGCATAAGCCTGTGTTCCTAATGTTATCCTATTACCTCTGCATGACTTGCTTACTGTTGTCCTCTTCTTCACCCTGCCTGTGTGTTCAGACTGGAAGTTTTGCTGCTGTACTATCTCCATTGATTTCTACAGGACTTGTTTGAAGTTCTTGCACAAGTCCTGTTTTAAGTGAATGTAGCCTATATACTATAGCAATCATACAGTGCCACCTGGAATACACTTCTTACAGCACCTATAGATCAGGCTGTCCCTCTCACTTTCCTCTTTGCCTCAGACACAAATGAGTATCTGCTCTAACACAGTATCTATCATTTAACATATATTCAATAGTGTGGTCTCTGTACAGATCCCTTCTCAGTAGAGTCTCCTGTGTACGGATCCCTTCTTAATAGAGTCCCCTGTGCACAGAATTGTACTGCAGAGGCAGATCCTTTTGTTGGATCTTGCTATCTGGAACCTGAAGCTGTGTGTGTGTATTTGGGGGGGGGGGGAGTTACTTATGGAAAATAAGATCACAGCTGCAAGGCCAAACAGATGATTAAGATTGTTGAAGCTGAAAGTACCAATCATCTGACTTTTTAAAATGGGTAGAGATCAAGACTACATTCCCCCAATCTGGTAGATAGTGCTAGTATTGACAAATAATCGTGTTGGCAATTGTGCTTGCAGATAATCTTGCACTTAGCAGCATATATGCAATGTGCACAAAACTGGCACATATGCTACTTCAGTGTTTGAAACAACCTAGTTGCCACTGTTATATATATAATCTACCCACCTACTTTCATTTCAAGCTGCTTTTGTGTAAACAAGTCTTTTAGAAATTCAGTTAATTGAGTTACATGTGTAAATTCTCAGTTTGTAATATGGAAGTATTTGGCTTGCATACATGTGCATGTATGTTTTTTTATAAAACTGAATTTAAAGCTAATCCCACTGCAACCTCTAAAATAAATCTCTCCATATAGATTGTCAAATGGATTGAGGTGCTGATTCACCCCTTTTACATTGACAGCTGGTTGAAAAGTAGTGCTATTCAACAGTTCTTTTTATAAATTGCTCAGTAGAGACTCTCCACACTAGTGAAACTTGAAAATATTCTAGATTTTTTAAAAAAATCAAAAACTCTTCTTTCAGTAAAAACTTGAATGTTTTATTCTTATGTGGAATTTCAGTAATTAGAATTAGAATTGTTTCCAAACTTTCACATGACCAAAATTAAATTGATATTGTACCAGTCCAGGAAAAAAAACCCCAGTGTATTGTGCATTTTTATCAGAGGCTTAACACTCCCCTATTGGAATGCATTGGACATGATAAAACAAATCGCTCTATTAAACTGGGAAATAAATCCACATAACAGTTTCCTCCCCCATCCCCCCAAGTTCCTACGATATATGTCAGTTACTGTGTAACTCAAAGCCACTTCTTGCCACATGTAAGCAGTGCAGTGGGAAGACTCTGAAGTATCTTCTTCCTGGCATGGAGCTACAGGACATAGGGATGGCTTTTTGAAAAGATGAAACTAATTCATGGAAGATTGGTCTGTCTATGACAATTACATACTAGTTGAATTGAATCTTCATGTTCAGGGGCCATATAGTATACCTCTGAATGCTGGATTCTGGGGGCATTACTAGCAGGAGATGCTTCTTGACACCAGTCAGCAGCTGTTGAAAACAAAATGATGGACTACATAGATCTATGGTTTGATCCAGCACAGTTGTTCATAATGTTCTTAGTCCAATTCATTGAAACATCCATATTACTTAATACCTATGGAATAAAAACTGGGAAAAAGAAATAAACTTTTTCTCTCCCTCTTTCAACACAGGTGGAAGTTAAGCCATATGTCTTGGATGATCAGCTGTGTGATGAATGTCAGGGGGCCCGTTGTGGTGGAAAATTTGCTCCATTTTTCTGTGCTAACGTTACCTGTCTGCAGTATTACTGTGAATATTGCTGGGCTGCTATCCATTCACGCGCTGGTAGGGAATTCCACAAGCCCCTGGTGAAAGAGGGAGGAGATCGCCCGAGACATATTTCATTCCGCTGGAACTAAGCAATTACTGCAGTGTGTTCATATGCAGGCCTCAAAATAAGTGCACTCTTCTGTTATCCTGATTCCCTGGCCCTGCCCTCCTCTTCTCTCTTACTCAAGATCGCATGTCCTTCTGTTGTAGTCTGTAATTTAACAATAGCGTAATGAAAGAATGACCTATAATCATATAGGTATTTTGTAGAATCTTGTCTTTAAACTGTATCGGGAACTCCTTTTCGTATGGATAACACAGTGCATGGAAGCCAGGTTCTCTTACCTTTATGTACCCAGAGGACACTGCTTTCTTGCTACCTTTTCTTAGAGGAGAGAGAACAATATTAAGAGAAGAGAAATGAAACAATAGAGTATTTTGTTTTTTAATTAAATTATTGCTAATAACAAAATCAATAGAATACTTTTATTAAAGTAACCATGAGATAGGAACACTATGAATCTATTCTGACACTTTGTCCACCCCTCCCTTCCCTGCCTTTCTCCCCTTCCCCACCCAAACCTCTGGGAAGCCTGTTTTCTTGCCGCCTGTGATTTTTATAGCAATGGAAACAGCCGTTAACCTAGTAACAGGAAAGAGCATGTTTAAAGCAACAAAAATGCATGAGCAAGGTTTAAAGCAGCATTAAGTTAATATTTTTATTTAAGGGTTCCAAAGCTAAATTTTTAGCACAGTATGTGTGTCTCACCGTGCCTCCGACTTCCCACCACATTCAAACTTTTACTAGTTGAGTAGGCAAAGCTTAGATCTGTGTTATTCATCCAAGCAATCACATTTTAAATGTTCCCGAATGTAAATCCTGGGTCAATTTACTACTGGGGTGGGTGGGTGGGGAGTGCATTTATTATTACTTTTTATTATTTTTATTCTTTAAAAAATAAATCTTCATTATCAGAATACAGCCCTAGAAATCCTACCAAAGCTAAAGTAATGACAACTAGTGAACTGGCATGTCCTCTCCTGAAGAACAAATGTATAGATTTTATTTTTGATGGTTATATAGAACTCTATATCCTAATTTACTAACGTTAATCAGGGGCCAGCTTTTGTTCTCCATTTTGACATGAAATACAAGAACCTAAAGATATACCTCAATATTATTGACCCCTCCCCCCAAAGTGCTAATAATCCAGTTTTAGGACAGAAATCCAAATTTGGCTGCTTATTGGACTTACTGTGGGACGTAAAATCTGTTTTTAAAAAGCTGTATCATAGGAAGCATAAGAGGGATGAAGTGAAGTTTGTTTCCAGGGATGTTTTGCACTGTTGGCTGAATGACTATTAGATTGCATGTTTGCAAAGGATAATATGCTTGTCTTCCAGCAGACAGCAAGTGAGTAAGGGAATCTTAGTGTAGCAAATAAAGAATTACAGGGCTTTGAAGTACCAACTTGCTGAGTATTGCACATGAGTTGTTAAGGATATGTAAACGGGAACACAGTATGTGTTAAAGCTAAGTCATAGGGCGGTGATAGTTTGAATTAGTCACTTGATAGCTCTGTAAATCTGAGACAATTGATAGGAGTGAATGTGTTCAGCTCTTAATAGATGATCTTGTAGCAATGTGCAAAACAAACCAGTCCACCGGCAATCTGAACTGGCATGGTACCACCATAGACTCTTAAACCAAAGACTTGCCTTAGCACAGCTACAGAAAAACATCTCTTCTGTAAGTCCCCTCCCTTCCCCCTCCCCAATTATCTTTGAGAAGCAGTTTTGATTTTCAATACATAAAACATACCTTGTTATTTTCCAAAGGTCAAAATGGAGACATTTGCTGTCTACTCGTCAAGTAGAGGAAGGGAGCTGCTTTTAATGAAATCCCTGCAAATATTGACAACAGTAAATGCAAATGGAGAGTGCTCTTTTGTAGACTGTCAGGGACCTTTTTCTCTGAAGTACATAATTATAGTTGGAATATTCCTTTTAATTTTTTAAAAATGCTTGTAGGTGGCTTGGGGTGTCTTATTGTGCCGATCCTACCCAATGAACAGGTGAGAGATGGGTTACCATTACAAGAAATAACACTGTTTGAGAAGTAGCTTTGAAGAATAATTTTTTCCCTTTGTACATGACCTGCTGAATTTCGGTACAGTGTTTTTGTAGCTAACTTATTTTGTCATGCACATAATGTATATTTGTTATGCACTACTTTTGTATATCTTGTTTTTCCAACAGTGAGCATTTTTAGGCACACTTTTCACTGACGGGATATCTCTTTATGCAATACCTCAATTTTTCATATTGCAAAGAGTAGCTTTTTGTACTTTTATTACTGAGAGATCTTCATATACTTCATTTTTTAATATAAATAATTTTAATAAATTTTATTTTCTTATATTCTGCTTTTTATACATTTCAGTGCTCTGCATACATTTTGAATTATGGATGTTGTGCACTGGCAATGCTATTTTAGAATTTGCAGAGAAAAGAAAGCATGTTGCTTAAACATCTTTAGCCCAACACCAGATATTTGGTGTACATATAATTTAAGAAATACTTATATGTAAAGTTGAGACTTTAAAAAAAAGAAATTTTTAAAAAAGCATGAAAGTGACAAATGAGAGAGTTTGTCTTTAGACCCTTGAAATTTAATGCATAAGCATAGTGTAGAAGTTTAAAAGTAACATCCCAAATTGTCTACTGCTTCTTAATAGGTTTTTAAAAGTAATACACAAATGCAGATGTTTTTGGTGAACGTTTAGCCATTTTTAATCTTAACAAATTGATGTTAGGTGTTTGCAGAGATGTCTGCTCTTTTAAATCATATTTAAGGAAATAAACCCAAGCCTGCCCATTGGTGGGCATGTAATGTTAGTATGCATGACTAATATTAAGAAAAAAATGTTATTCTACTAATATTCACTTGTGGTGATTGTGTGAAAAGCGTGTTTACAGATTATTTGGTTACACTTCAATTTACAGGGCATAAATGATTATCTATATTACTCTGTACTCTAAGTAGTGCTAATATAATCTGTCCTGAATTTGTGGGAGGTGGAGTTGCCATGTCACTCCAAGCATAACTAATGTCATTACTTTAAAAATCTTAGGGTATCACTTTAGTTAAAGGGGTGTAAACAAGCATGTCATTTTCTCTCACAAGCATGGCACTGGGCCATGTATTTACAATGTAGTTACAGAGTAATTACATGGTTATTTTTGCAATGTAAAATAAAGTGTTTCTGATTATTTTATATGTAAAGGAACCCCACTGCCCCGTGCTTTTTTGGTATATAGTATCTACTTCTCCATACACAGACCTCTGCAGAAAGCAAATCTAAAACTTGCAGTGAATGATTTTAGTGTTTTATAAGGATGCTGTTGGAAAGACTTGATAATTCACCCCTTTTTTGTTTCTTGAAGAGTTAAAGCCTTCTGTTTTAAAAGGTGATTTAAAACTTGAATGTGATGAATTGTGGCAAGTTAACTTCAAGTTATGTGCAATACTTATTTCAGACTTCTGGAAGATCTTTGCAGTGTAATTCTTTGTTTTTAATTGCAGACATTTAAAAATGTCATTTTCTACTGTTCTAGTAAATCCTCTTTCTTGCTGGTGTTTCTAAAGAAAAGAATCAGAAATCAATCTTTCTACTAATGTAAATTTGAGATTATTTTTTAAAAAAAGGAATAAAAGAGGTTTTGGTCATTTGCTTTATTTTATTATCTTATTTTAAAGCTACTGTGATTGATAGCATTGTAAGAATTGGGACAATATTGTATTCAACTGTTTTATTTTTTATATTTTTAAAATTTAAAGTATAATTAGTTTTTATAATTTTCATCAGATTCTTTTGTTATATTTTTTGGAAGTGAAACTTTTAGCAAGTGGGTGTCTAGTTTTTACTAATCCCTAATATGTTTTCCCCCAATGTAATGCTCATATTATCAGAAGGAAAAGTTATTTAAGTATGTCAGTTACTTGTACTACTTGGCTGAATTTCCATATAGTTTTTACTGTGTATGGGGAGGTTGTAGTATTTATTATAGCATTTTAAATAAGGGTAATTCATTTTTTATTAAAGTCATTTTCACATTTTAAGTTCATATTTTTGTATGTTCTACTCTAAGTTATAACACAAGTTTCTTTTTTAAGAGAGTTCATTTGTTGAAGTGCTAGTAGAAAATTAATGTTATTAAATAGTTTGCAAATGACTATTTATACCAGTATGCATATAATTTTTAAATATTTGTAATGTGAGATGTTGAATGAATAAAACTTTTAACTCAAAAATTAGTCAGCTTGTTGCTTTGAACCGCTGAGGGAAAGAACTGCTACTGAAATCCTTTGCATGTTGAGTAATGAACTTTAAGCAGTGTGACATTCCCATCTTCAGAAGATGCGTAAAACAACACTAGCCAGTAGCAGTGAATCATTTTCCCCATGTAATTGGTGAGCTAGTGCAGCATAGTGGATAATGTTGGCTTAAACCAGAGAGACCCACATTATTTTATTTATTTGTATATTTAGAACATATTTTATGCCACTTTGCTAACCAGCTTAGGTTCCCAAGGCAGCAAAGAAGCGAAACCATTAACACAAGTTTTAAAAATGCCTATCTATTTTTAATCATTAAACAAAATACATAAACTGTTAAAGAAAGCACAAGGATCTCTGTTTAGTCATGAAAGATCACTGGGGTAATCTTGGGCCAAACACCTTTTTGTATACTCAGCAGGGTGCTTGTGAGAATCAAAATGGGAAGGTCAGGAATTTTGTATGCTGTGGTTGGACTCCTTGGACGAAGGGCAGAAAAAGAAAAATGTAACTAATATTTAGGAACACCCTGACATGAATATGCGTTCTCCAGCTGTTTTGCTTAAAAGTTGTTAGTTGCTAACTGTGAAATTCCAGCTCCTTTTAAACACTATCTTAAAATATGCCATTACCCTTAGGCCTTTTGGTGAGATGCAACATGAATGGTGTTGACTTTGATTTGGGCAGGGTTGCAAGCAAAACATTCCACCTTTAAATCATGTCAATTTCCCAGTAGTAGTTTGTGAAACATCCCTGGGATGGTAATAAGTGTTTGCTCTGCTAATAGGAAGAGTTTATCAATACTGGGCTGATTCAAGCCCAACAATAGGGGATATTCTTAAAAAACATTTTCCCCTGATGTTGATGATCTTAGATCATATGCTGTGAGGGCAAGCCCTCAGCTGTCTGCTCAAATGTCACCCTGGGGGAAGAGCCAAATACTGACTATTTATATTTTGTAAATTTGGTACTTGGGGAGATCTGCTATCTCTGACTAGAGTCTCATGTGACTTTGGCATGAAACTTCAGCAAACTCAGCATCATAGTATCTATTTTTAAACATACAGCCTTCCTTATGTCAGCTAGGCCAAAAACGAGCAGCCAAGTGTTCAGTCACCTGCTTCCACTTACTGCTCTTCTGCTATTTAATTATTGGGGCAAAGGGAAAGCCTCGTATGATGCTCCAACAATGGAATGTTGGATGAGAAGCAAGACTACTGGGATGGCAACGTGTCTGTAAGAGGAAGAATGCAGAGCATTGGCAAGCAGGGAGCTATTCTGCAAACTTCAAAAAGCCTGGCCAGATTTGCCAGGCTTGGGTGGGGCAGCTACAGGTTCTTGCAGATTTTTTCCTCCTGTGCCTCCGAAGGGTACTTGGAAGCTATTCAGGGGAGAAACTAGAAGACTTTTATCTAATGCTCGCTACTGAAGTTTTTAATTAATTATATTCACTGTCAATCAAGCAGTGCCTCTGATTTCTATATACTCCGCTGCTGATTTGGATCAGTACCTGGCACTTTGAATTTTATTTGAGTATCTG